AATATTGCTGGAATGAACATTCGAGGTAGGTACGAGTACAATAGACCATATCCTGTAATAGCCTTCCACGGCCGGATCAGTATGGCAAATGAAGCGTACTGGAAGACTTAAACTGGAAGACTTATTAAGCTAAAGCGATGATTTTTTTTACTATGTGTTAGAGGAATTCTCTTCCAATTACTCTAACATACTTGTCCCAGCGTTCTGGCAATTTCTGGACAGTCATAAACCTGCTATTCGCGTCCCGATGTGAAATTTCTCTGTTTATGGCTCTTCGAAGTAAATTGATGGTCCGATATTTTTGCCCACGAGTTGTCCTTTTTCACGGCATGAAAAGCCCTGCGGACCTAGATCGACAGAATAAACCGGCTGGAGGCAGCGTTGGATACTTCTTTGCTCAGTCTAAAATGTAATTGAGGCGTGGCGGTAAAGTCTGGCATTGTTATCAAGCAACCACACTGCGTGCTCTCAATTGCCGTGCCAACGATCCATGAATCTCCAATGAACCTGCTGCATTCACTGTCTTGTTTTTGGCGAGTATCTCCTAGTAATAATTGCCCCTAATGTTCATTGCAAGTATTACCATCATTTTACGCCTGAACCCGTTCGACATTGCCATCAGACCGAGGTTCTCTCCAGGGCGACGTCATCCTCTCGTTGGTCTTCGTTCGGATAGCGGATTAAAGCGTTCATTAAAGCTCCGCAAGTGGTACGTCGAATACATCACGCGCATTTCGCATTGGCCTGAATTCAATTCACAGGGGACCTATGTTTTATCGCAGTTTTCAGTATCTCGGTTTAAATTTTGTAACGCGTTACATGTGAAATGCCAGTTTAAGCCGCGCGAGCCTATACTCTTGAAGCTATGCTTTAGTGAGAGAGCTTTTTCGATTGCAATTTTGCATTTTGTCCTTCGGTTAGCATGATCTTCGGTAGTCCAAGATTCGTCCTTGAAATGTGTGCAATATTCATGTACTATATATTTTCGCATAAGCGATCCTTGCCTAATGCCTTTACCAATCTTCTAGGATTTTTCGCAGTGCTATGGCCTTTAAGATATAAAAACCTGCGCTGACTCTTTAAATTTCCGGTTAGGTATTTCTAGAAGACTGAAGCATTTACCAGCCATATTTCGTCTGCTAGTCATGGATGGTCCAGAAGTTATCGAATTTCAAAGTCCAAGAAAAAAATGAAAGTAAAACAAAATTGATGACAAAGGAGATCTTAAACAAACACGCTTGTACTTCAGATTCATTAACTTGCGCCTGTTCTGCAGAGCATGAACGCATAAGCATGCGGTAACTTGTAAAAAATCAATGTATATAATAATAGGTATTTTATCCTTAGATTGTAACATTGAGGAATATAGGTATTTGGCTGTCAGCTAATGTAAGGAGCTGTTCAATGTTGCTCTAAAAAGCTAGTACTAACAGGAGTTCATATGACCACTTATAGGTCTGGACCTGAAGACCCAAACAGCATAACAACGGAAGGAATGAAAAATTCTGATGACAATAGGTTCCATTTTCGATTAGACGTGCCTTTATACGGCGCGTACCACCATAGAACTCCAATTGCACAGTTTCAGGACAATTGCGTCCTTTTCAACGCTCGCCCTGCCCGGGCCCTGATGTTATTTTGTGCTGCAAAAACATGGGTTGCTTTCAAGGCAAACGTAACTGAAACTATCTCATAACGTGGAAGTTCAAAATGCTCGATCTAGTAGCTGATTTGGTTTGTTCGACCTCCACGCTTTTACTGGTAACTAGGCATTCGTAGTGGTAGTAGTAGGAGTTACTATTTTAATCTTCGACAGAGTAACTTGTTTATTTCGGACATCTTTTTTTTTTTTTTTTTTTTTGCTTAGTCTTAGTCGGTAATTCGACATGGCTTAGCATTTTTTTTTTAGTAAAACACCATTGTTATGATAATGATGTTTTTTAGCAAGTGGCAACCTTCATGACGACGTTAACTTTCACTACCTGAATAATCTCTTGTATTACGTCGATACAAACTGCGTATCACTAACACACAATGGTAAAAGTCACGTACGTTCGGTGATCGGTTCGGGCTGTTTGCTTTGCGTAGGAACAGCGACGTTGTTTAGCATGGAGCACTATACAGGAGACGGTGCGTATCCGCGCTCTCGTCGCGCGTATTGCCGCTCGCCGTGGCAAGTTACACGACTTAAAATCAAAGCAAAAAAACGAAGACGTTGCAGAAGTGGGCGCATTCGCATTGAAGTCAGCTGCGCTGTCGGAGTGGGTAGCTTTTCTTTATCGAAGAGCCGCGCGTTGTTTCGGCTGCGTCTGTGATCACTCCTTGCATCTTCTATCAATAGCACCGTGCTGTGACGCATGCCGCAGATTGCGCCGGTCGCTGGCGAGGAGGGCAAATAACTAGACAGAGAATGAGGGTTGTTGAGTGTGTTTCATTGTCTGTCTAGCCGGCTGATGAAGTGCTTCTCTCCTGCTTATGTATTATATCTGAGTAATAATCATCATTACATTAATGACAACTAATGCTGATGGTTCTGTTGTTCCTCTTGCCGATGGAACACTTCTTGTAGCGCGCGGTATCTGTGTATAGACCCGATGACACACGTTCGTATCATTCATTCGATCGCGATGTCGGTTCCAAGCTAGCATTGTTTATCGAAGAAGCCTTAATAATGTACGTATAAAATGATGAGCGCAAAGGACAAAATATTTTCATTGAGAACTCTGGTTGGCTTATCAGTGTACCAGATAAAGGCGGTCATGTACGGTGGATTTAGGTCTACTAGGCCCCATTTAAAATAATTGACACTCGTAATATCCAGCTAGAGGGGGGTGCCATTTAGTAGCTGGAAGACATTTTAGAGAGGTCTGATACAAACGAATTATAGATCTACGATTAGTAGCAAATTAATGTCAGATGTGGGAAGGCATGTCCAACTGTCATGAGCTGAGGCTAGCAATGAACGACATCGAGGACTCTGTTCAAAGTAAGTCGATTCTCTGAGAACTCGTATCTTGCGCTAAACAGGGACATATCTAGTATTTTCTTATACATTTGTGCTAAGATGACCTTAACTCCCGCCATTGCTACAACTAATCGAAATAGTCTGAGCCGCCTCCATTCAATGCCTTAGACCTCCCTAGGAGGCACCCGGAACGAACTTGAGCTGTTTGGTAATTTTCGACCATTCCTGCTGCCTATAATGACAGCAAGAGTCGTTGAAACTGGTGAAAAGTTGGTACTTGTTTGCCCGGTTATTCTGTGATGCGTTTTTACTATGACAGCCTAAGCTGAATTTAGTACAATCAACAACGTTTATTAAGAGCGGGCTCAGTCGTTGCTTTCCTTGGAGCAAGAAAGAGCTTTCGACTTACATTCAGAATATCACTTGTCGTCCCAGCATGCCAACGGCATACCCAAATACCGCACAATTTGTATGAATACAGAGGGTTATTTTGTACGCTTACTATGTCGTGGGATTTTTTTTTTGTTAAAATTACGCATGGTATTCTATTCTTTACACCAATCAAATCTACCGACGTCTATAACCGACCGTCGCTGTAAGCGAAGTTGGTCTGTTGAAACCCTGTTAATCGCTGCCTCATTTTACTTCGTCGAAAATTTATAAACATAAAAAAGTAACCAAGAGTTGCCTGTTGCTATTTACATATACATATCGAATGGAGTCAAGTAATTGCTCTTATCCTCTCCAACATTTATCACCTAGAAGAATTAAATTTATTCTACCTCAAGCTAAGACATCGAATACTCGACTAAATTGAAGTATGCTTGTATAGAAGAACGTCTAGTACTCAAACGGGTACCTATAACGCGATAGGCATAGCCGCCTTTGTCTGCCATAATCAACGTTCATTGGAATCTGTAACCCTTCAACTCTGCCCACGTTTATCGATTCCTGCTGAGGCTCGTTTCGGAATACAACAGTAGTATAAGGCCGTTTCACTCGTCTAGAGATAATGCGGATTATATAAACTGCTTAACTCGTAAACAACGCATTTTCCTAAAACGCGTGAGTAGGTATTAGCTGAGTGAGAATCGTGACACGTACCTATCTAATTAAGCGAGTAGAGTTTCACGACTTTATACGTGTCAACTTGAAACTGATGATTGCTATACATATTGCGAACTGATAATGGAAGGGCTACGATATAACTTCGAATTTGGGTAATCCACGTTTCCACTATGAGCGGTGTGTTCTTGGCTTTTACGTCAATGGCTTGCCTTTACATAGAGAGAGCGATAGGCGTCATGCCACACTCTCAAATAAGGAATCCAAGACAACTTGTAGGAGATGCAGCTAGAGGCAACAGCGCCTCTGCAGATTGATAAAAGTGTTTTATTTGTATTACGTTTTCAACTAAGGTCGGTGTTTTAATGTTTGCCTTATCCCTGTTTTTTTTATTGGTCAATGTAAACCTTCGAAGACAACCTTTTCGTCTTCTTCTATAGATCTAACAGTTACCTTCTCCTAGGATTGGACACGTAAATTCATTTTTAGAAGGCTGTCACCAGCAAAGCACGAGTATGCTAGTCGAGAAGATATGATGGTATTCATTTCAGTCTAATTTTATTTAATTAAATTATTTCTTCATTGCTCTGGAAACGATTCTACGAGCTTCCCTAACTAAATTTTATTAATTAAATACGAAACTGTAGTCTCCATCATATACAATGGATCCATGTTAGCCGATACTGATGACTTTCAGCTAATTGTACGCACTCTGTGTCTGGCAGTGACGTGTCAGCACATTGTCGACTCATTTTTTCTTCAAACGATGATTACGTATCCTTCATCGATACTGCTGCTGAGTCACGATTCAGAGCTTGTTTAGGCGATAAAACTTAGAAAAATTTAACGATTCCGTGACACTTCTAACGGTTTATTAAGACCAACGGAACACGGATTGATCCACATATATATATATATATATATATATATATAGGGTCGTATAAGCGCAAAATGCTGTTGAGAGGCAAGCTTTAATCCGCTAAATCAAGACTAGACTTGTCGCGTTGAAAGGTTTACGCAGGTCTAAAATGCTACTTTTGGTTTACGCGATGCTATCGTTCATGTGCTTTGTGAATACTAAGGATCTGTGCACATCAGAGGTATGAAATTACTTTTGTAAAATTATCACGCGACTCCTCATCATAGCCATCCTGAGTGTATCCCGCATAGGAAATAGTGTTCACTAGAATGCCCATGAGCCTAATTCCAAATCACGCTAAAGCAACACCGATTGAATCTTTCTATGTTGATAAAATAAATCAGCTCAAAGGGCACGCGGTTCTACAACAGATATTGCACTTAAAGCTTATACATATATATATATATATATATATATTAGGTTTTTACTTGAGTAAATGTGGGACGTTTTTGTCTATACTTGGTATTAGAACCTTTATTGCTTTAACACTTATAAGGCCCTGAGACACCCCGTACGCATGCTCTTATTGTTTTTAAACAACACCAATGACTGATAAGATAATATACTGATCAAAGGAGCAACCAGCTAAAAACTGCAATGATAATAATACTAATAAGAAAATAATAATGATAAACTACAGAAATGTAGTATGAATAGTATTGAACATTGAGACAAAACATAAACGCCTTTTGCAGTTCTCGTTTTTCTTTTTGAAAAATATTAAAAAATTCTAAGCTCGTTTTCCAAAGCGAAATATGGTCAGGCCGTCCTACGCTTAACTTTATAACTTGCGGTTACGTCAGCCATGAATAAAAAAACACATTTGATCAAAAGGTTTAAGGCATATTTTGCTCGAGCTACTCTAATTACTAGAATTAATATGTCATACGATAACATTGATCTGTCACGACAACGTTTTCATTCAGATTTTCTAAAATGATAGCAATTGGTTTGCAGTAGCTGTTCTCATAATTATCATACCCATAATCCATATCTACCGTTTTTCGAACCCAGGTCAACATGATACAGCAAATACGTTGACAGTGAGATGTAAACACAATTTAGCTCAGGTACCCAGCCACATCAAATTTCGATTCGTACAACTTTAAAAAAGGAGAGCTGTGTGTTGGTTTGCCGCGCGGAGTAGTGTGACCCTGCTAAAATCACGCAAATGTAACAATGACCCAGCAGGCTAATCAACAGTAATATCACCTGCTTACCAGAAAACATATCCTCATCCCTGTACATTTGTGCTTTCATACTGGTAGGATTTAGTTACTCACAGCCAGGCGTGAACTGCTCTTTAAAAACTCATTCAGCGACAAATATGGCTTGGCTTAACGATCTTGTCGAAGGAACCAAACGCGCGTTCCTCTAGCAGACGCAAAAGCTAGCTAATAATCCGTCAAGAGCGGCCGCCCATGACACCCAGCGCTATCGCCAGTTCATACCTAGCCATTTACTTAAAGCAAAAAAACTTTATAGTTACGAATCAATAGTGCGTACACGATTGTCGCTAGCTTCCTGTCACAAATACATGAGGAAACCCCTTTTATAACAGATTTAGCTATCTCTGGCACCCTTTCGATGTTCAAAAAGATTTGTCAGCATTTCACTCAAGCCGGCGTCAACTCCTATATACATATACATTTGTGACCTTTTTGCTACCAAATAAAAATTCTTCGCGTACACATAAGAGTGCACCAGAATCTCAAATACGAGAAGACTATAATTAGTATCTTGTCAACGCCGTACTGAATACGTGGCAATATTTCGACATTAATTTTACTGTTTTACACGTTGAAACCAGAGAAACTACAAGACGATACACATTTGCACATCCAGTGTTTACCAGCTTGGTCAGATGTTGACAGTTGAGTTACGATGGCAACAACGACCAATGGTAACAAACGGTGAATTTATCCCGTTCACTAATATTTTAATTCGAAGTGAACCGATAGCGTTTTTTTTTTTAATATAATGTAATGCCGATATAGCTGTGTTTGTATTCCGGAGAGAGACGACCATTTTGAATGAGTATGGCGCTGTTGATTTCTATCTTACTTACAAAGTAGCTCTATTCAATTAAGAACTATGTGTTTATTGATTCCTAGCCAAATGGAAAATGTAAACAAGGTATATGTTTAAAGATGAACTATATAATACAGTTTTATGCGGCTATCTCTAAGCGAGGATAGTAATAAGGGGCATGACGTGGCTTTATAGCCGGACAATGTAAGAAATTTCATTTCAGGAAAGAACTATTGACCTGTTGCGGCAAGTGCTATCATATTAAGACTAACTAAATATACTTGGATAGGTACGTCAATACTGCTATCTTCAAAAGCGTCATCCAATGGCATGTGTCGGAACTTACGTGTGCCCTCAAATATCAGAAAATCAATCTGACGAAGAAGAACGTTTTAAGGAGAATATCGTCCGACTTCATAACGTGATCCGGTCTGTGCGCCTCCCTTTGTTTGTTCTAGTCGAAAAACACTTCTGGACTGTACTATTCACAATGGATATCGTGCTGGAATCGAACCGTTCCATCAAATTTATTGTTTCTGATGCCGTGATTAAAATTAATTAAACAAAAAAAAAAAAAAATCGCTACGAAAAGCGCTAGGATTAATTTACGAATAGTAAAAAGATAAACTAAAGTATGATCTTGACAATTTCTCGCACAGATCACAACCAGTCTACGGGCTGACTGCGGCAAACATGCGCCAACTGAAATGGGACGACCAATTAGAGCAAATGGCGAAAATAACCGCGCATCAGATCTGCGTCAATACCTACATCCAGCGCTTCTGCGAGGCAACGCCTAAGCATCTCGAAATGATCGGATCTAACGAACTTGTGCTGTCTGCTAACTTCAAACTTAGGATCAACGCGGACACTGTCATGGACAAGTGGTAGGCGACTGACAAACATTCTCGTCACAGTTATCATAATAATAGGTCAAAATTAATTTAGAGTTTTTTTTTTTTATTACATTTATTTTCGCTTTTGTTGAGTACTTTAAACTTTATAATATAATAGATCGTAAGTGTTTCATATATGACGTTCATTCGTTCATTTTTGGGTGGCACTGAAAATACTACATTCTCGTAGATAGACTCAAGTCAGAGTAGCAGGTTATGATGAGTACTCGACGCCCTATCAAAGCCTTCCAAGCAAAAGGCCAATTGGCTAAATCAACTGAACGAAAATTTAACATCGATCTATATTGAACCGCGTTGGATTTAGAAGGGTCGTTTGTAGCCTGTGCCTGATCAAAATGATTTTGGACGAAACGTTATGCTAATGAGCTAAAAAACAGGCCATAGGCACAAAATAATTTGCTATCGACTCGTACATAGAGATTGATCGAGAAATAGAGCCTAAAAAGTGACTGAACGGGAAATGGTCTTATGACAAGAGGCGCCAAATAGATTTGTCCATATATGCAATGAAATTGTTTCGCACAGACACCTTTTACATTACGGAATATATGATCCGAATTTCTGTATGGTCTATTTGTCTACCCTCGGGTCATAACAGCGACATCTTTCGTTGAGCGATTCCCTAGTCAGTTCTACAGAGAAATGAATCAAGACAGGACACCTCAGAATACAACTCAGCTTAACAGAAACGGCGTATGCGTGCACCTATGTCATGCTGAAACAACTATGTCGTGTTGCGTTTGTTGTAGGAGATGTCGTCGTTGTCGACAACGTTCGACACGTCGTTGCTTTTAAAACGGAGAGAAACAATGTACTCGATGTATACCCCATACAAAACCTAATCGGGCTGGTGAATTGGAAGCATAAGTATTCATATTGAAATTAGGCATCATTATGATAGTTATGTAGGTTTGAGTGTAGTCTAGCCGGCTTTGGTGGGCATAGTGTTATTGTTGTGGATAAAATGCAACTCGGATGTGCCGATATAGCAAGGATCAAAGCCTTTCTTCATGTATAATCCTAGGCTAGACAGAAAATCATTATAAAGAAAGCATGTTCTTCTCAGTGTTGTGACAAATTCACTGTTTCACCCTTCAACTTCATACGCTATTGATAATAAGTCACACTCAAGTCAAGGCGCTCGTTACTGCATACATAGAGCTAATATAATGTCAGCTAATATAAAGTTTGAAACTCTCTAACAGGTTTAAGAAGAGAATGGAATATAACGCGACTAACCTAATTCTGCCGTTCAACGGAAACAGATCAATACAGCCAGTGGCGCAAATACTTTCCGCTGAGACGCACAGCATCGGCTGCGCGTACCTACAGGCAAATAACCGAGGCCTTCAGGTATCCATTTTTACACAGTTAATATTCATCTAAGATTCTACTATTCGGCGAGGAGAAGTTGATAACGTTGACCAACTTAAAGTAACTTCGCTCATTCAACTCCAGTCAAACAGCAGTTATTGCTAACAAAACCAAATCTGATATCTATCTATCCATCTATCTATATATTGATCTAATAATGACCTGTCTGAAGTTCAAACGGGAATTAAAAGACAAAATTAGATAGCACGCATTAACAGGTACCTAATTAAAGTTTCCGTTGATCGTACCTGACCGCAAACAGGGATGAGTCTGGGCTAGTGTTTAGTATTCTGCAATCACAAACGATTTCGACTAATCGTACCCTTATTCCCTAGTGTCATCTGTCCTAGCTTGCTTAACGGCAAGCGCGCTATTCGCTGTCGAGCGATGATTTGTGATCATTTTTGTTGAGCCAGCGTGATGACATCGTTGCTTGTTTTGCAAATGTCCTTTTCAGCTACTTGTAGTCTGCAAATATGCCCCTGCTGGTGCGAATGTAGGCATGAATGCGTTCATTGTAGGTCCCCAGGGAAGCCAATGTCCGGTTAACACAAGCCGGACCCCTGAGGGTCTTTGCAACTAGGATCAAACCACAGTGTTTTCGTCTTTATCCTTTTTTACTTGCCTTTTTGTCTTCTGAGGTAGCAAATTAGCCATCGGACTAAGAAGCTCCAACATTACCGCATCAAATCTCCCATTCCTGTAAAAGGTAAATAAATATACACGCGTAAAATGATTATCGTCTGGCCTACCAGGTTTTCTGTTCAATGCTAGTGTCATTTAATGGTAATTGAAATTCCAGTCGTGTTTTCAAGTTGTTCATTAGGCATATTTATTTGATAATGGTGGAAATGCTTGTTAAGGTAGTTATTGTAGATATCTGATGGAATGGCCAACGCGGTATAGGATGCAATGCTTGAAACATTAAGTAATTTTTTTTCGCTTCACAGGAAAAAGCACTTTTCATCCTGTTGATATTTTGGATCTTGCAAATATAGAAATCCTCGAGACAAGGTTCCAGTGTGCCCATATTTGCCCACTTTGAACACTGAGTGTTTACGAGTGGCACAAACTTTGCAAGCCTACATATACATTTTACCATTGCAAGTCGCGGTTAAACTCTAACTGGAATAGTTTTATATTCAACCTTTCTAAAGCAATAAAAAGGCTGTAGAAGTTTTTCAGGTCAGCATCTATGAAACGTACAGGTACTATCTCGCAAACCTTTAAGACACGGCGATGTTCTGTGTCTTTAACGAGATAATCCAGACTAATGTTATTATAGCTATTATATATGACAAATACAAGGATAGTTAGAACAGCTCAAAGCATGCTTTGCTTCTTAAGAATCATGCGGAACGTAAAGTAACTAAGTTTAACTTGTTCATTTTTGTATTCACTCATAGGAAGCTTATACGGGAGAATCTACAGTCAATTTCAAACAAATATAATCTCTATGAATATATTAATAAAAAAAAAAAAAAGACCACACGCCTCTATGATAAATAAGCGGTAGTTTATTGTAGTTTGAGATCTAGGTCATATAGCAGTTTAAAAATTACGCGACGCCAATTTTATCGGTAATAGATCTACCGTTTACCGCGGTCAGTTTAAGCTAAGAAATAACTGTGGGCGTCCAGGAGTGAATATATACATTGGTTAAATGCTTCTGAGCAGTAGACATGTTGTAGCCGACGATACTACAGAAGCCTCCGCACTGATTCCCCTCTGGTAACCCAGCACCTAATTGTTCATCTAGTAACAAAACGGCGAGTTTATTGTCAGACTGATTACAACAATCAGTTGCCCGGCGCAATTGCCGTAAGGCTCTTGTGATTTCGAGGATATGCTTCTTACGGACGCTGTGCATAAAATGAATGCCGATGATTCCTAATTACATGGTATTTCTGCGATCCTCTATTGACGCGCTTGCGTGGTACTGCGAGGGTAATGATATGTTAAGCTCGGTCCTAGATCTAGTTTTGTCTGCCTATGTTTATTGTAGAAGCTCTAGTCGTCTAGAAGTTGTTAGCTAGTGAATTGCGAATGTATCCTAAACTCGCAGGGATGGCAAAGCTGATACGTAGCCAAACATTGCAGTTATGGTACGAATGGAATACGAAGGAAATGTCCCATACACATGTACTACAAAGGCACATCGCCGGATAGGATTCAGAATGAAATTTCCTTAGGATTCTAGTTGTGGACACTAATGCAATATATGACGTATTTAAGTAATCTGTCGTGTTTAGACCTACCGGCTTCCGGTATAAGTGTTAGTAGATAGACAACTTAGTAGACATAAATACAATGGATCAGTGCTAAACATAGCAAACTACACACGTAGCAATCTATAAGAGTTTTTCTCTATATGCTGATATAAATATATATATACATATATATGCTTCGCTAACAAGCACGCATGCCCTTTTTTATAAATAAATATTAATGTTAAGTTGTGTTTTTTGGAAAGCATTAATGTGTACTGTCCCAATACAATTTCAGATGTGTCGGATAGTTTTGGTTGTGAACATACACTTAATGTACTGATTTTCCAAGCTGCAATCTAATGACCAACTTGCCTGCTAAGATTGAATTAAAAGATCTACGGAAATACACAACAGTGCGTTTACATCCCATGACAGATCGTTCCTAAAGCTGACGTAAATGTTCTGGATGTTTGTTTTTCCTGCCTGTTATACACTACGTCAAGTTGAGTGCACTTGCTTAAATAATTAGTTCAGACTTACATTTGTTTCTCTCTTGATCCTGATTAAGTGATTTTTCTACCGCGTTGCAGATGCTGATAATCTCAACGAGCAACTCCTTGCATACACCTGGGACACCAATACACAGCTCTTAATTTACAACCAGTTATGAGCGATAGTGGTTGGCATTTGAATGATCAAGAGCATAATTCTCCTTCATTGTTAGGACGTTATTGTATAAAGAAGAAAACATGTATAGACACTTACCCACTATAATCCTATAGCAGCCCTTTTAAGCTTTTTGGATTTTTTTTTAAGTTTTCCTTAAAGGCTACGTCAATATGAATCTTAGAGTTTCGTTGCAGTTCAAAAAGATGCATAGATAGTTATAAAAGTATTTGTTGGTTATTTCGAAAACGTTTGCAAAAATATCTCTACTTACAGAACAGGTTTAAAAAACCAAAGTAAGGAAAACATTTATCCTGTATTACTTCAAAAATACATGCAGATTTTTTTTAGTTGAGTTTCAACTTAATCTTAAATTTAAAAAAACAGGCCCGTCAAAGTTTTGCTATGTCACTTATTAACTTAAAGAACTCAATTGATCTTAAGAAACGAGCAGATAAGCGTTTAACTTTATTTTTTCTATTATAGCATGATGTTCTCTATGTCAATGCGGTTTAGGTACTTCATCAAGAACTGGCTAATTATTGAAATATTGCTCCATAATGTGACTTCCAGACTTGTTCATACATTTACCCATAGTTACAGATGGGGGAGGGTGAAATCAAGGTGGAAGTGCATTTTTCAAATTTCTAGGAAACGGTTGGTAACAATCTGGAAGTGCGAAGTCTGAGTTTACTTTAGGATACTTTTAGGGATCTTTAGGATACTTAGGGAGTATGGCCACGGATGTTTGCTCATACGATGTAAAGCTGTAAAAGGCCACTGAATCCCGACCTCCTGAGACAAAGAGGGAGGTCAAGCAGGCGGAGAAAAGGTGGCCGAAAGAAGTTCAAAACTCAGCGCATAAATAAACACCTTTGAGGGTCTACCGCATTAGAACACGCTTTACTTCACGAGAATAAGCAAAATTACAACACTTAGACTGTGTAAGCCTTGCAGCTTTGTTTTTGCTCATAACGCGCCCGTGTCCTCAGGCTTCGTTTCTCTAGAAACTTTGGATAACCGGTCGAGTGATACATGTTAGTTCGTTCATTGAGAATTGAGATCTATCTCTGTGACTTGCCACTTTGCGCAAGAGCAGCCTTCTCTAAAGACGCTCATCGTACAAATGGGATATTTTGCGAATATCCTTTTGCGAAGTTTAACATAAGCACAGGTAAGATACGAACATTTCCTGCTGGGATCTAGATAAATCATTCATTCATCACTATCTAAACTAATCTATAGCTATACTAGAAGGAATCTGGCAGAATAATTTAGAAACACATGAAAATTTTATAATAGTTAAAAACACGAACTGGGTTTAAACATTTGCTGCGAATTCTGTCTACTTTCTCCTCGTTCTTACTATTTTCATTCATATGAAAGAAAAAAAGTACCCTTGGAAACTCTTGACCGAAAAGTAGCTTGACGCTAAAGATTCGCGTCTGTATAATTTTTGAAATTACTCCTATAATGGGTCTACCTAAGTTTGAATGGCTTTAACTTTCGGAAAGCTAAGAAATCACCTTACGAAAGTTGTATCTAATGCACCACAAAAAGCTTCCGATGAGGTATATTCACTACGTACAGGTCAACATTCAGATAGATTGTATGAAAAATGAAATGCGATGGCCACTTTGTTTTCTATCCATTTTGAGTCCTATTCCTTTTCAAGATTTCGAAAATCTATGAAATCTGGAAATCATCATAGTAGTCTGCAACTTTTAATCTGTACAGCGTTGAAGGCTCAAAACAAACCTGAACGTAGTAAAAAAACAACGCTGTAAATTTGAAGACATTGGATTGATGCTGCTTAAAGTTTCCGGAATGTTCTATATAGTATTAATTTCAATGTACAATAAAGTTACTACTATGAGTGCCAGCCTTATCGTAACTTGTTTTTATTTAGTGATTTTTTTTCCTTAAAAATGCAATTTGAACACTTTTGTAAAAAAAAAAGTATCTTGGAAAATTGTACCTAACATGTCCGGTGTTTCTTTTTTTTTCTAAAAATTTCGATTTCAACAGAAATATATTTGCAGCATTTATTTCACATATGAAATAAATTATCTATTTTGCATTTTAATTTTAGTTTTCGTATAGTTTCGTGAAGGGCAGTCGCTTTGTTGGCTGCAACCAGTTATCAAATGCGTAATCACTTTCGTGGATGTCGATTACATGGAAGGTATATGCAGGCCGGGGTTTGTCTGAATAATTTCGTTCACTTTTATGCACCACACGGCCGTCAATAAGCACAAGCCCACCAGCAGGAACTTCTACCGGGACAAATTCGTCAGGACGAAAACTACGCTGTTCGCCCGTGAACTTGAGCAGCGTGCCTTCACCTTGAGAACGTACCATACGACGCGTTACATTTTCGGTCTTATGTGAGCCTGGGATGTACCACAGGCAGCCATTTTCGGGCATTGCTTGATCGATCGCAAACCACAGGCCAACAAGCTTGCAGGGGTCATTATACAAGAAGGTGCGATCCGTGTGGGGAGTTACTTGTGCGCCAATGTTCGGATGCTTAAAGATATACATTGACTGGACAATAGCTGGCTGAACAAACCCTAAACGACGCACCAACTGCTTGATCGGTGATTTGAATGATATTTTTCGAAATACTGGTGAATCCCAGTGAAGCGCATGACCAATTTTGTTCAGAGATCGGTCTTTGGGAACAATCAAGTTTCCTCGGCTGTCTAAAGCGTCCTCTTCAAAGAAGAAGCTGATACGGTCGGCCGAGTTTAAAAAATACTCGTCGTGCAGTTTCACCTGGTCATATGTCGTTTTGAACGCGGCTTTTTCCTGTTTTGAGACATCAAGACCGTTAATGAGTCTAGCAATTTCATCCTTGATTTGGTAGAGTTCCTCAGTGCTAAGAAACTTCGGAATTACAACACAGCCTTCTTGCTCAAACTTCATCAAGTATTCTTGCAAGTCTTCCATATTGAAACTTTTATTGTCTAAACAAAATTATTACGGTGTGTATTGTCAGCAACGTTCAGTCGCTCTCTCGTCGCTGGAGTAACTTATATAAAGTGTAACCATTATCCACTACAATTTGTTTGCCAACGAGTGCAGCGCGAGCCATTGACGACAGCGACTCTTTTTCGCGTCCTATTATTCGTTCTTAAGCGACTCGCTCTTTTCCTGTTCGCTTGGTGTTTCTGCCCAACACTCCTGGCTTGTTGTGTTCCTCTAGCGTTGAACATCGCCTGCGTCGTCCATCCAGAGGAAACAACGGCGTCCTCTCTGGTTAGTCGGCCATTTCTTCTTATTACTGTGTTTACACGCAGAGGCCGTGCGCGTCGCACAGAGACTAAGGAAACAGGAAAATAATAATCCCATGAACAGTTGCGTTATCGCAACAGGTAAGGGAAAGGCTAACAGTGAGTAACAATTAATCATTAAAGTATGATGACCGATACGACGTTAAATCGGGCTGACAAGATAATAGAACACACTAATCTACCGTCAATGGACATATTCGTGATTAACGAAGAGTTAAAAATGATTTAAAAAATCCGTTTTTAATGAATTGATCCATAAATAAAAAGACATATAAATTGATCTATTATCTCATACAAGTTGTGGGTATAAATCGGGCTCAAGCCCGAAATTCGGTATTCTATCTACAGAACATTCAGTGCTGTTGTAGGTGCTGTTGCCAGTGAACATCGGATACGAAGAAAGTTCATTATACATCCAATTATCACGGGTTGGCTTGGGAAAAAGGTGGAAAAATTACTAACAAATAAAACGGATAAAACCGAAAATGTTCTAGGCGTTATTTTTCCACAGAATCTTATTTTCCCTAAAATATATTCCCTAAAAAAGAAGATTTTGAAGTAAGGCTTATTTAAAGAGCACAAAGACAAAAATGTTTCTTTACTTTGCCCCAACGTAGGTACACATGTACTTCTAATAAGTCACACAAGGTTTTGTACTGCACGACATTTTGACTTTAGTTGCTACTGTAGTCGATATCTAGCGACTCGATAAGCAAGAGAGCTATCGTAAACATATTTATTGAAGTATTCTCAAGTTTCAGTTAAAATGTTCTTTAAAAACTACTTACCACTCTCAGTTATAGTAATATAGAGAATATTTTTCAGTAACTTTTATGACACAAATTTTAAGAATATGAAAAATCACCGAAGGATGTCATAATAAAAATACTTTCTACGGTCACTTTTTATTGAAAGTATCAGTATCTCGACGATTTTGAATTAAATATAACTTTGAATTTCGACTCTCGCCAGAAAATGCACAGCGGATATGCTGCTAGATTGCGCGCCGGCAAATATTTCCCTTAAACTTCATTTTTTTCGAGATTAACTAAAAGAATTGATCTCCTAATTACCTCTACGTATACAAAATTTAACTTAACTTGAAAGGTTCGTCTATTTTCCTCGCCCATGAGTGGGAGGAAATGCTGAGGGTACCAAAGAAAGGAGGTATTTAATAAATGCGCGCGTATCTGGTGCGTAGGACAAGACATTCGCAACAGGCACACATAATATATATACATATTTGTCAATTAATTGAAACCATATTTGGCCAAATAGATTTATTAATAACCAGGAATTGCGCTCACTTGGGAGAAGCCATATGTTCAGAACTCAAGTGTGTTTAATAGATTTAATTACCACGGTATAAGACTTGATGAATTTATCGATCCTGCATATTCATCTATCCGTTAATATACTAGTTAATTCTGAGCTATTACAGTAAAAAAGCGGTTAGGAACGTGCTCCTTAATATAACCGTTACTTGAATAAAAAAAAGTTTGGCAACCTAAAGCTTTCCTGCTCTGCGATTTATAATGAGTGAGTCTTAAACGATTTTGTTTGATTCCTTTAGCCACGCTTTAGTACTGCAGCTAAAAGGCCAATAGCCATTCCGACGTGCTAACAACGAGGAACATTTTCCTTACTCGCTGTATCGTTTATTGAGAGGTTGTAACTTTTTCCAGAATATGCGTGTAAGCCGATGAACTGCCTTAACATGGAGCAAAGGTTAAGAACGCGTACAAGTCTCTAGATTCGATCCCAATTCCCCTTTACGACAGCTCCCTCTTATCTTCAAAGAATCCAACGGCTATGAATCTTTAAAAGCGCGAACGATCCCGGACATCAACTCCGTATGTTACAACACTATTCCAAAGGTTATCCACCAAAAATTACCTTCCAGAGATACATCGGCGATACCCGCCAAGCTGTGATGCACACGTGCCTCCTTAGAATATAAGTAATAAACAATCAAATAAATAATTTTACATCTATATCTATATACAATTAAACGAGAGTTTATATATCCTTCTGACACAATTGCATTGCTTATATGTCATAGACAAATAATCGAAAAAAAAAAAGATTTTTAATTGTTTTTCCGTTAAGCTCATATAATTTTCACCACTATGATACCGTTAATATACTCAACGAAGTATCATCCCAACTATAGCTTTGCTTATCACTTATCATCAAAATCGCCGGATAGGTCGTGGTACAAAAGGTACAAATGTCAGGGTCCAAAGAGCTAGACACATAACAATAGTTCCACAAAAACAATCAACCAGTAAGACGAATCGTGCCTTACGGGTTATTTAGGAGCACAGGAAATGGTACAAAATTGCGTTATTAAACCCTGGACATACGATTGCATCAAAGATTCGTTGAAACTGTCGCGCTTTTTCAAGAGTAGCATTCTGCCGGCGACTTTGCTCTGAAATAAAGGCTTTCAAGAAACTTCACAGCGACAAATATTGTTCTTCATGCAAGTATTTCTTTACCATTATGCTTCACTTCAGAGACGTCTGACACCGCACACAGCAGCACGAGTTTTGGGTGACATCGATAGAAGGTAAGGCTCTTCGTAGAACTTTGGAGTGACGCTCTTTGGTGAGGAAATCATAAGGCACCTGAACGACGGCAGAAGATTTTGATGTACGTTTTTCAGAGAATGGGCATTGTAAAAGGTACATGGAAAATCGATAAAAATAATGTAGAAAAAGTAGAGACTGAAAAACAGGGCCGAAATCAGCACGGAGTACCGGGGCGATGTAGTGTTGATTCAAATGATTGTTTTCATCGGTCGTTCAGTAATCGAATGTGCCTTTCGACATTGCCTAGTTATTGCGACATTTCCATTGAATAAACATTTCCTGTCGTTATTTTAGCATAAACCTAACCGTTTTAGTTTTCTAAGAGAAATACTAAGTTAACTTAGCAGTCGAGATCTAAAGGTCTAGTTCGGGCGCCTCGAACTCGGTGATCGAGGCCGATCATCAGGCACATTTAGTAATCATCAGGTGTGGTCTCGTGCGTAATTTTAGGTGTAAGTGATAATAATAATAACTAAACAAGTAGACTGACTTATTACTAAGACGTTTATTTCCGTTTATTTCATATATTATATTTTTTACTTATTAATTACGAATGACGGGTTTTATTAAAATCGTCAGTGTCCTTAGTATAGATCCACCAGTTGAAATAGCTCACTTGTATCATCGACAAAGAAGCTGCATTGCGGTCCAGTTTGGATCCTCAGTTGTGGCCTTATGAAATGTAATAGCTTGCAATATATCGCGTCTTTTATACTTAATTTTAGGGCCTCTTATCCAAAATAGCTATGCACAAGCATGCGATGTTGTTCTTGATTGAAGAGGTACGAAGAGACACAGACGCTATGGATTAATAATTAAAAGCTTGCGATCGTTTTCCTTAGCCCTGCGCGTAAGCGACGGTTGATAGCATACAGCCATTGTTTAAGCGGCGGACAACTTTTTTCAGGCCACAAAAGCGCTATCTGTTTAATATTTAAATAACGTTACTGGTACTTTACAGGCTGGCACGCAGCGATAATACCAAATATACTACAATCAACAAGTAAATATACTACTGTAGGTTTTCTGCAGAAATGTTTGCCTTCGAATCCTGAATTATCTGTCCTGAATCCCCTGAATGATATGGAGTGATTCGTGCACGTCGCTGCATGATATCGAGTTACCTGCCATCTGAGTAGCTATACGCAGCCAGTAGAAAGAGGTTCCTTTTTGGTTGGAAAGGCTCCGATATGTTTCATGTAAAACGCTGCTTGAAGTAAGGTGTAATTCTGCATCAATTGTCTAGTTCTAAACGCTGATGTGCCTTTATCGATCAAAGTCTAATTTAAACAATGCATAACAAGTCTGGGAACAACGTAGAATGAGAAAAATGTAATTTGGTTTTTGGTATTACATAAAAGTATAGACGACAAACTTCAATTGTTTAAGAGCTTGACAAGTTCATTTGAAGTGCGGACGACTACGAAGACGTCTGTTGTTGACGGCACCTGAAAAGATAACTCATAGCCTAACAGTGACTTACAGAACGCGGCTTAAGTAATTGCCCCTCGAGACCTGGTTTAAATTATGGTCTATGCTGCATCTCTACAGACAAAATACAGCTCTCGTACGATGAGTTCAAATTGTATGATGGCTTTCCAACTGATGGGTATATTACAAACGTCCATTACGTCCAAACAAATTAATCCAATTTGAGCGGACGACTCTTAAAATATAAATCTACGAATACTATACTTTACCAACGAATATTAGATCGATTTAAAAGTTTATTTTTTAGCCGTTTCGGTTCACTATAAAGATTCGAATAAGTTAACACATCCTAGTTCAGGTAGTACCCTTTACTTTCTACAACTTTCTTCCATCTTTCTGGCGGCAGCCGATCTAATAAATCTAAGTAAAAAGGCTTCACATTTAGAAGCGATGCATTTTTTGATTCACTCGTAAATTTCGGTCCCTGTTTGAGACCACGTTGCATTGACTGACCTAAATGATATTCAATGGAACGATGTCCGGATTGTATGTTCGATGAAGTAGGGTTTTTCATTGGAGAACTGTTAGCGTTTGTTAGGTTATTAAAGAAATACGCAACGTAACGTTGTCATGCCCCAGCATCATTTTTTACTGCCATTGGCCGGTATCAAGCTTTTTTTTCCGACCAAATTCATCACCCAAACAAATACATTGATTTGCATAACAGTCTTAGGTTTAAGAAGTTTCTAGTATAACACTCTATATGCAATATAACATATACTAGAAAATATATGCCCAATACCCTATAAGCAATATTATATATACCCAATCTTGGATAGTCTGTACAAGTCTGCTAAACACACAACTTTTAACCAAGAATATTTTTCCATTGCGTCGAAGTGAAAGACTCGAATCAGTCGCCATTTTGGGGGTGTCGCACAGAATCAATCTCTCATCGCCGGCAAGGATCTTGTGTGTAAAGGTGATGTTCTTTTCTATCGTGTAAGCAACGAAAGGTATATTATCAAGTAGTTTTCTCATCATTCTCATACGAGAATCTGCTTTCCCTCCTTTTTCGATCTTTCTTAGCGCGTCGAACGATTTACAGCAGTTATCTGAATAACTTCCAGCCGTGCAAAGAGTTCCTAGATCCTAAAGAGCGCCCGCAGTTAGTTGTCACGCGCTTCCTCTCCTCCATTCGGAACGTGCTTTGACGTGCAAGTTGAAATCTTCCATTCAAAACCAGTTAAACCAAACTGGTAAATGGTAACGCTGGGTTGCTTTGTTTTCGATTTCGGAGAAAATATTTTTGTTTCGGCGCCACTGTTCATGCATAAAAAAGTGAAGCCGACAATATCGAATCATTATTTCGAAAGGCAGCATATTAGCGAAAACAACGGAGCACACACACCTCACAGCTAAAACGATTGTTCCAGTCAGACATGATTAATCGGTGTGATGCTAGCCCCAGTTGTCGGGTCCAGTGAAAACTTACTGCTCAGCTTCTATCTGTGTAATACAAGTTAAAGTAAAACTTGACGCTTCCTCCAATACAACGAAACTTTGCATTCTTTTACCTAAATGGTTTTCTACTTAGCAGTTGTATAGCCGGATGGCCATGACATTATTTACCTCTCTCAAGACATACCGACCGAGGTTTCGCTACAAGGAGCTCTTTAAACATGAAATACATAGTCAACTCTTTTTCAGGCCATCTAGAACGTAAATGGTTAAAATCATCAACCTGTAACAAACAGATAGCGCCTAAAGCATAAGCGTGTTTTATCTGTCATCATATATTTGTGTGCAACCATGACCTCTAATGATTTTTCAAAGAAAAGGGTCTTTGTCTATTTAAAAGATATGTGAACTCTAGAATAGTACATTACCTTTATGATAATTATACGGCAATATGTAGGAAAATGATCATGGTGCTAGTTTTCTTCATTGTACACATTTTAGGTGCTATGAAGAGATCAGAAAACTAGTAATAGTCAAGTCTCTAATGCAGGCCTTTCCACTGACTGCGTAGTGATTTCCAAATTAACAAAAGGCCATAACGGGCTGTCTAGAGGTACGATGCTTAGCAACCGTTATCGGAGAGCGTTGCCCGAAACGGAAGTATCTACCATATTAGAGTTAGCATTAAATGACAGTATCACCAGTAAAAAGTCTAAATTATATTTCCTATGAACGCCATCATCTCTTTTTACAACGAATCCCATATGTCTGTTTTCGTAGGCGTCTTATGGATTATATGCCCCAGTCGCTTATCTTATTTAGCTTGACACACTTCACCTCGTCCCTGCAGCATTCGCACTTCCAACGCATAGACGCTATGATCCGTAAATAAGTGGAAGCAAAACGCTCCTCTTCTAAAATATAGGTATCAATTTTGCTACGCTCATTTTCCGGATATTTCCCCACGATACGCTACTATGCACACCCGTGCTACGGCGAAGGATACAAAAGCAGCTCTTACAGGTGGCGGTCCAGACAGGGAACAGGCAACTCGTTTCTGCGTACTTAGGACCCTCCTGTCTTCAGTATTCAATGAGTGCAGTGAAATATGAGGACGACACGAGCTGGCGATACAGCGCGAAACTGGTGGCGCCCTCTAGTCAGCCAGCTGGCAATCGTTGATTAGATCGCCAGGCATGTTTAACTGTTTACCAGCTGATAAAGAAGAATGCCCTTCAGCTCTCCGCTTTCTGCTGCGGCCATATAACTATTACTACTGTCTCTTTAGAATATCTTAGAAAAAAAAAAGACATTTATCTTTACAGCAGCGCAGTACGACTATACAACAACCAATTGAAACTAATGAAATATCAACTAGTTGAGTACGCTGCTGGTCTGTTATAGCTGCCTGTTACCGTGAACGAAGTATTTCCGCGCGTCCAGCAACAAATGGAGCCTTGCTCTCGGTCGATCTGAGAAAAGGCTAATGAAAAATGACGCTTGAGCTGTGATACTGTATCGTTTATACGTTTGTGCCGTCTTCTGTCTAATCGAAGTCTGCTTGGTTATTGGCGGTACGTGACCATTCCGGCAATGCAGTACAAAACTGCAGTGTGCCTATATACTATGTCCTGTATAGACTATTAATAAATTAAGTTAAGATCCTCATAGAAACAAGCAAATCCTTCTTATTCCCGCAACTGAATTTCTATCTTGCTATCTATCCTAAGGTATTCGACAAACGATGCCTCTTGTGATGATGCCAACCTATCATTTGCAGAAGAGTATACAAGCGGTTATTGTTGTTTCTGCTGCTGCACAGCACGCCGAGCACCTGCGAGCCGACCAGCCTGCCCGGCTACCTATTTGCTAGCGATTTTACCTTAATAAACCAGGATCAAGCGTCACTTTGTCTCTGGTGGTGATACCACTGCTTCAGATTCTAGCATAACTATGATCGTTACGACTATAGTTGAATAAACGACAGAAGCAAAAAAGCAACGGCGAAAACCGCATGCATTGTTTTGGTAAGCTGACGATGCTAATCGTTGAACATTAGCGATTCTTATATTGTTGGTTGGTATTTTTCTATTGTAACAGTTCTAGGAGAGACGAGCCGCTTCAGGTACAGCCTAGCTGTTGACCTGCCTTAGCCGCGCTGGATGATTGCCCTAATGGTTCAGTGCGGTATATGTATGTGTCTATCTAGCGCTTCTCAGGCTCTTCTAAAGAGCCACCGATGAGCGACTGTATCGGGCGCAAAGTTGCCGATCGATGTTAGACGTGAACATCGTGGTGAATGTCGCTTCAATCGCTGCAAGGACAAAAATACATAGTAGGTGTATACATAAAAATAACCGACTCGCTAGTGTATGCTTATTGCCCTCACAGACAACACGACGGCATCGGCCTGTAATGTTTTGAATAATCCCTTCTCAACCTAAGGCAAAAGCTGGGTCGAAATTAAGACGAGAAAAAGCTCACAGAAGAAGGGTTCAAAGATAACTGCGGGAGAAAAACAACGACAAATTGTGTCGCCTATATTGCCATGTCTAATTTGAAGCTACTATGAAGGTAATGAACTTTCCCGTGGCTAGTGGAGATCAATAGTGACCCTCGAACTTCCTGGAATTAGTGCTGTGAGCTTCATCCTATTCTTTCTGTAGAATCCAGGGATTATAGTCAAAACCAACGAATGAGTTAGGCCAATCTGTGTGTTGTGCAAACATCTAGTATAATGGAGCAATCACTTAAGCACGTATCGAGGAAGTTCTCGATTGAGGAGCGGTTTCAGTGGCGTTCCGAAGAGGAGCGACACCTGATCGACAAAGCCCTCGAACGAGCTATGGAAGAGGACATTGAGATTTGTTCGTCCGATGGACAGCTAGTAAGGTCTCACCGATGCATACTAGCTGCCGCTAGCCCATTCTTCCATTCCATGTTTAAATCTGGCATGCGGGAATGCCGCGGCCAGGTCGATCTGCATTTTTCAAGTGAGCTCCTGGCATCTCTGATGAGGTTCTTGTATGAGGGTCGATTTGAGGTAAGCGATTCGACGTTCGAGCAGACGTTCCTGATGTATCATCTTTTCGAGCTAAGAGCAGCACTGGCCTTTATAGGAGACCTGATGTCTGACACCGTGGAATGCGATAATGCGCTTGAGTTGTATGACACGGCAATAAATTTTGGTATACCACAGTTGCGCACGTCGGTAGTCGAGTTCCTACTTTCGGTGCCTATTTTTGAGGTGCCATTTGATAAGTTCCCTTTCGACCTGCTTGCTGTCTTGCTGGACAGGGACGAATTGCGAGTCGAGCACGAGGGACAGGTCGTCGAACTTATTTTTGCCTGGGTCAACGCCGATGCTGATTTGCGGAAAATTCACCAGGACGCCTTACTTCATCATGTGCGACTACCCCATCTTCGTCTCAGCGAAGTAGACTCATTTCGTAACCAGCTGGCCCATTTAGATCTTTTTAATCTGCTTACAGAGAGCAACGACTGGCTCGCTGATGTCGGTAAAAAAATGCTTTCGAAGAGAGTTCACAGTGAAGTCCATTTGCACGGGTTCTGGGCTGAGGATAGCTTGTGTGAGTACAGTTTTGAAGCTATGCGCCGACGTAAGGTTGAACAACCTTTATGGATGTTCGACACCTCCCGATACTTTATGATGTGTTCATTTTTAGGCAAGCAACCGAAAATTGAAATCGAATCATGCAACCAGGACTATTTGAGTACGACGAGCCTCGATGGACTAATCATCCGTGAAGACTGGACTAAGCGGCCCAGCTATGTTTTGGGACCCGAGCTGCACATTACTCTCCACGATTCTCTGAGACGTGTGGCAGATATGAAAAGTGAACTAGACAGCCCCGACTACGATATTGTCTTCCTTAAGGTTCCTATAGCTCAGAATGGAGTAACCAGTCGCCGTAGTGAGTGCAAACGACGCGCTTTCATCTTCGACTTCTACAGGGCGAGAGTGTGCTGCGTTACCGAGCATGATGGTGAGGCAATATTCATTGTTGGCTCGCATGTAGGCGTTGAGGACGAGCCTGACCTATTCCTTATGCGAATCTGCCGATATAATCCACGCATAGAACCCCGCTATGGCGACGGCCTGCAGGAGCTAACTTGTGACATTGAGTTGACAAAAGACTATGTGCCGGTTTGTTGCCTCGTTACCGAGAATAAAAAATTGGTCGTGGTTTCGCTTCATGACATAAAGATCTACAGTCTTCAGGGGGACTCGCAAGAAACCTCACATGAGTTCTCGATTTCGCTCGAATTTGAGATTGGTGTCACGGCATGGATAAAGCAAGACACACTCTACGTGTATCTCGTCGACAGAATGAAAGACGTATTCGATAGCACTGACGGCGAAGAAGAGCCGCCCAAAATGCATTTCATATCCGGTTATAGTATCAGTAATAATTTTGATAAGATCTTCCAACATAGGTTGGACTTCCAAGAACGAAAGATTGGTTATCCAAAGGACATCCGATCAATAATTATCCGTGACACAATCTACATCATGTACAAACCAATTCCCCAGTACAGGAGTCCCCTTGCTGAAGGCTTTTACATATACCGTTACGATGAGGACTTGCAGACGATGACTAGCGTCGACCGATTCGAGGTGCTTAGGAAAGCGAAGTGTGACCGCTTTCCTACAAATGGCGCCATCTACGAACGCGACCTGGTCACGTTATTGCCTACCGATATGATGCGTTGTGAGCATACCACGCTACTTGAGGAATTTTGTCACCGATGTTCCTTGGACGAGGCGTTAGAGTATGATCCTGTAAGGTTGGCCTTACTAAGAAAATATTTGGTGTGACTGACGCAATCCAGACTTTCAAAGCCTACTGGCACATATTTCCACATATACACTTATGTAAGTACAAAGTATAAAAGGATTAATTGCACGACTATTTTATAAGCCGTTGGCTCATCAAGTATATCCAATGGTCTACACTTTACAATGTAGACATTCTGTAAGGGCTTTTAAATGGCTGAAGAAAGGCCGACAGTGCTTGGAACTCATTTACTTTCTGATATAAACCAACAGAAAAAACACCGGTGCGATTAATTCAAATACGTCCTGTTTGACTAAGGTCAACAGGGTAGAGAAGACGATGTTAAATGATGACATTGTGGCTAAGATCGAGGTGGCAAGGATGGGATTTTGTTTCGTCTTCGACCAGTCCAAATTGATAACTCTAGGGCTATGATAGGGATTATGTATATGCGCACGTGCACGATACTTATAATCAAGCGATACATTCTCAAGCCTGTGCGTACAAATGTAGCAAATATTTGGAGGTCCCAAATGGACAGGTATATATATATATATATATATATATATACATACATGTAAAAATAACTTACAGTAGTATTAGTAGCAATAAAGGGTACAGGCTGTAATACTTGCCCCAATGATCAGCGTGTTCCTACTGATGAAAATAATTTGCGGTTTTTGGAATATGTAATAATAAGGCGTTTCTAGCTAGTGATAACTTTATAATAACTGTTATCCGTGCCTATTCTAAGTAGGCATCCGAAACTAGACGTTTTGTTGAATCGTTCCCAGTTACAAAATTTAACCTAAAAGTAGGAGCAGCAGCGTGACACGAATTGCATACGCCTACTACGTGCCTGTCGCGCAGTTGTCGTGACATCTTGACGAACAATTTCACTGAACTTGAATTGGGCCCATCAAAGAAACGTTAGGATAGTTAACAGAAACTAAATAAGAGCGAAGTTGGCGTAAAAAAAATCAATCCTTTAATCGGTAATCGGCTGCCTCTTTTTCACCTCGACCTTTTTGCGATAGACAGACGTTAACGGAGTGTGTGCCAATGTTCAATCGACATATTTCTTGTGAGTGTGATAATATTCGACTTTTAGAAATAAAATTGTTACGGAAAAGCGTTTCGTATGAGGCAGAATGCAGTTGTAGTACCTCACTACATCGAAAAATTCGAGGACAGCAAAGTTCGTTCAAACATGCTTTCGAAATAGGTATTTGCGCTATCAATTTTGCCTCTATAAAATAGTTGCCGTAGGGGTACACGACCCGCTTGTCATAGCAGAACGTCATTCATGTCCGGATTTCTTTTCACAACAGTGATATTGTAGGTCCAAATGTCATTTGTCCCAGTACACTGAAAAAAAAAAAAAAAAAAAAGAAGGAATATCCGATAGAAAAAAAGCCATTCGAAGTTAGTTTGCATCGTTTGTAAGCGACCCTTTCCTATGCGTTCCTCCGATTTGGAGAGATAACTTAGCCTGCAACTATTTTCGTAATTCGAAATCCTTAGCAAAAGGCTTTAGTAACCGAATGTTTTTTTTTTTTGCATATCTAGATAATTTTTCTAGATACTTAAAGAAGTCGTTATCGTTTTATTCAGAAGAGGTAGACATAAAATACATAGGTGAATATCAATGCCGATTTCACAGTCAATACATTTAGAAGGTCATTTTGTATATTGTACATACTTTGTTATTAGTTTTTAGTTGTAAGGCAAGGAGGTTCGGGCTGCAGGTTGGCCAAGGTGAGTCTGACCTTCTTCTAATCGTTATGTTGCTATCCCGAGGATGATTCTCTTATTTGAACAGAGTATATTGATTCGCCTCTGGAATCATCGAGTCTAATGGTCCGTTTTTGTCCCAGCTCATTTGTGGTCTAATTTCTATACCAAACCAATATCTTTAAGCATATCTAGCAATTGTACTATACAGAGTATTTTCACTACAAGAAAGATCAGGTACGAAACGGTCTACAGCTGTAAATGTGGACAGTTCAACTCCATTGAATCATAATGATTCGAAGATTCGCTATGCCAAACTACGACAATAGCGATCCGTAGGCTCGCTCAGTTATCGTCATAAAGCAAATGTCGGCAGCGACATGGAACAGAAATTTCTACGATCGTCGGTCGTCCACAACATACAGACACCAACGTATGGCTCTGTATTCGCCGGTCCGCGCACAAGACACGCAACACTTGTTACTGACACCTATTTACGTTAGGCGACAATGATGATTTTAGGTTGTTGGCTTATTTGAGAGATATTGCCCTCGCGCAAATTTCAATGTTGATATCATTTCACTCATCTAGTCCATCCAACCCGTTACCGCAGGGTCAAATGTTACCACTGTGCACTTGTACGAAAATTTGACATTTTAACAAATTTTACAATCGAACCCTTTTGCGTCAATCTATATATATATATATATATATATACATATAATCTGTTTTAAATTATTCAGATGCGCTTATCTTTTGCAGTGAAGCAGTATTCACAGCAGTTACTTTCGGCAGCCTCAGAACATTTTAGATTACATAGAATAGATTAGATAGAATTATCAGGTACGTTTTGTAGGAATGCTCGAGCATTCTTGGTAGTAGCTCATATAGCGGACAGATTTATACATGAGTATAGTTACAGTGAGTAGTACGACGCACTCACTGAGTTATATAGACATCAAACTGTTTTTCAGTAACGATTGTTCGTCATTAAGATGCTAAGGACTAATAAAAGTGCCATATTATTTCGAACGTATTACACAGCCTATTTTCAAAGTTCCAACACAGTAGCTAATGTGGCACAACGCTCTCGAACTGCGCTATCCAGAGCACGACAGGTAACCAATTGATGAACTATAGAATTCAAAATGACCGCCTTCTTAATACATAACGGTTTATTCGTATGTGGTACGTTGGAATTTACCTTCTTTCAATGCCAAAGACAATTGAAAAGTCTGAGCTCGTAGCTCATATATACATTTATTCAAGCGAGAAAATCGAGCAAATAGGTAAGTAATAAATTTAATTATTTTGAATCGCAAAACGGTGTGTCCTTTGCTTTACATTCGAATACTTTTTACGAAGAGTCAGGTGCTTTTTAGTTAGGCCACAGCCAGTGCCGCTTATATCACCGCACTTACAAACTTAGAAATGTTGCATTCACAAGGTCGTACTCAACGTAATATCACAGAATGTTAGCAAGAATGAAACACGCAAAGCTCGAGATTTCTCGTGTCAAACTAATGCTGAAGCTAAGAAAGCCTGCCAGAACTCAAGCGGCCTTACTAATATGCGACACTACATTGTATTTATCAACAGAGAGACTTGTTCTTAAATTAAATGCAACTTTGACTACCCACAATCGTCCTACGATGAATTCGAAAAGAAAACTTACGATAGACGCGATCGTTCTTGCTATCACGTAACTACCAAAAAATAGCTTTGTAAATACATTAGGTGGCTTATTTTCACTTCTGGGTTATTCGTATGCTATAGTTTATCAGAAAAAGGCGACCACGACGTACGAAAAAATCTGTGTTGTAAATTCAACATGATCTGCGTCAAGTGAAACTTAATGGCTAGGGTAAACACGCTCATATACGTCTTAAGTTTAGGATCTCCGCGTCATATTCAGTGGTTATCGAAAAAGGCGAATTAAATTTCATGGATTCTCTTTTGTGTGTTGCGATAATTAAGAAAAATCAGATAAGTTCCTTTGACTTTTGTTTCATTATCATGATTTTCTATTGTATTCGATTTAACGATAAACCTCTAAGCGTTCATTTGCATCAATCATTTTTTAAAAGTTCGCTCGTTTTGGTTCGTACAGAGTTATCTACAAAGTAAAGAAACTTTGTGCCAAACAAATAATAATTAAAGTACCTCCCGTGCGTTTTTAAATATAACTCCGCAGCCTTTACTATAACTAAAGGTACACGACGCATGTTGTTGGGGCATTATGATACTTGCATCCGTGCACTTAGCATAACCGTGGCGCAAATACTAGGCACAAAAGTAGAAACCTTGGAAATAAAAGGTGTGGACTTCAGCAGCTGGGCTGATCACCTAGAACATCTTCAAATGTAATTTCAAACCGTATCGCCCGAGGGTTGAGGATGCGATTATTCCAAAATATCTGAGCTTATAACTTGAATTGACTGAAATTACGTTGTAGCTGGCATTTTAATAGTTTGGCAGACAGCTTTCAGATACACGAAAACAAGTTGTATGTAGCTAAGTAAGCTTCTTACGTATTTGGCGTAAATAGGAAAGAGTTTTTCATGGACAGAGTCGCTCAAAGTGGAGGGCCATTCTTCTCGCTTTTCCCATCAAAAATGTCCATGATTGTCCTTTTGACACATGGTAGGCTCTTTAAGCTTCGCCTATTCCTACTTTTTGGCGTCCATTCGTATGGACGTTGTTGCGCAAATGAAACTTAAGCAGCCATTAGAGCTGTCAATGGCACCGCGATGGGCTGATTAAGGATATCGATGTTTGATTACCTGTGCCAGTTTATTTTATGGATACCTCTGAGGATAACATCAAGAGCTAACAAATTGAATCCTAAGTTTGAACTAACTAACTAACGAAGAATTCGGATAGTAGACGTATTTTCTAATTAGGTTGCACGCCGGGTAATTCTTGATCCTGTGAACGATGGTTATTGGGACGCCTAGAATATGACAACCGTAAGTGAATTTGCCTGGTCGCTTATGACATAATAATTGTATCGATGTCCTCACATTCACCTACTGATAGTTATAACAGTAGGCACAGCTGAGCCTTTGGTTTCCTGTCGGCTTTTTTCGAGGCTCGGGCAGCATTTTCCTTTAGAAGTATACGCGTTTTTGACAATTAGAAATTGTTATTTTTTAAATAAGAAAATAGGCTTATACGAAGATGTAGCTTTTTAGGAGTATAACCATGGAGGCATGAACTTAATAGCAGATAATATCTTCTATTTTGAGGCTCACAAATGTTTAAAAACGAAGTTTGAGCAAAACACTGCAATATTCACGATGAGCTCAATATAGATAGATTACGGTTTTTTTTTACGGAGAGCTAGGACCCTCCTCCCAAGGTAATCAGTTCAGAAAATTTCAAGGTACGGTGTGCGCTAGCTAAATCTGAAACGATTTTTCAGTTGGAAGTTTTACCATGCAGTAATGTACCTAGTTGGTAAGGCCAAGCTCTAAATAAATACGTATTCTCTCGGCTATAAAATCATAGAATTGCCGTGGCTGGATTAATTAACGAGTAGCTTACATAGAATTCACTGGCTAGGTTCACTAGGAACATAATGTCCAAAATTATGACCTTTTCTAATGAGACACGATTGTTACACACTGATGCAAAGAAAGATAGTTAAAAGCGAAATGACTCCCAAGCTCACCAGAAAGATGCATTTCTAATGATATTGTCATTCCGATACGCAGTTTAGCGGCCATTTTGGAAACGGGCATAACTATTACTTGTAGGAAATATTTCAGGTATACGTCAGATATGATGAGATTTAGGCAGATGCCTTTTGGGTATGCTAACGCGAAAAATCACGCCCGCTCCCGTTGCCACTCAGTTGTTAGGTAAAGCGTAACAGCATTTTTCTTCGATGAAGAAACTTTTGCTATCAGTCGGAGATACAGTCCCCTACACGCATTCGGGTTGTATTTAAAAGAGATTTGATGAAAAAATGAAGCCAGATCATTTGGCCAGCTCTTTTTTAAAAAGGCAAGACCGTTACGAAGGAGGTCCTATGCCAATTCTGACGGAATTGTGGATCGATAGAGTAGCGAACAGAACAAAATATGACCTTCAGCAAGACGGCGTACCCGTTTACAATTATCCTTTAGTCAAAGATTGGCTTTCGGATAATGTGAGCATTTTTAGAGAAGGTACTCCTGCCGTTAGCCAGCTAAATCTAAACAGCCGTAAGCTAAATCTTTCTTTTCATTTTTCCTTGCAAGGCATACTTGAGGCTCTCACTAGTCCCATATATATTGGCATCTTTATTCGAATCGCCATCTCCACAAACCTAGTAGTTGTTAATCACGATGTAGTTAGTCTCTCTAGGGTGACACACTCAATGGTTCTATTATTACCCTTTGTGTAATTATCTGAAAAATCAATTAGAAAAACATGTTCAGG